AAAAAAAAAAAAAAAAAAAAAAGAGCAAAAATCTATCCCCAGAAAATCATCAGAAATGCTGCAAAAGCTTTATGCGCAAGCCTTTTCATCTCAGGATTATTTCTAATTGTTTTTTTAAAAGAGAAAACAATCTAATTATCCCAAAATTGGGGAATGATTAAATAAACTCTAGGGGGGCCACTAGGGAATATTAAAGAGCTATTTGAAACAATGTTTACAAAAATTTATAATGACATGAGGGGAAATACTTATACTCTTAATTTTTAGAAATCAGAATACTGACAGGGGTGTATGGTCAATAAAATCACAATTGCATTTTTAAAAAAATCTTTGCATTCAACATGACAAGAAGAAAAACACTCTAATGTAGTAACGTTTTCCAAGGATTCTATAATGAGCACATACTACTTTTATTATTTTGTAAACTTTAGGTATGCGTTAATCATAAGGCAACACTTTTTACTTTCATTCTTAAAAAGATGTCATAAGCTGTAGCATCAACGTTTGCACGGCCAGTCTTCTTCCCAATCCGTATTCTCTCTGCCCCCAGCCATGCCAGAGCTGCTCCAGGCTCCCCTGTGCCCACTGTTCTGGATGGAGTTCAAAGGCCACTGCTATAGATTTTTCCCTCTCAATAAGACCTGGGCTGAGGCTGACTTCTACTGCTCTGAGTTCTCCATCGGCAGGAAGTCCGCCAAACTGGCCTCCATCCACAGGTGAGTGGACTCCTCTGTCCTCTGTAGCCCAACCAAACACCCCCTCTGGAAAGGGGTGTGGAGAATGGTGTGTCCCACTGGCGTTTCTCTTTGGTAATTGCAGCTTTTATTCAGCCCAATTTCTCATTGAAACTGGCCTTGGCAGTAGAGGACAAAGCATTTAGCAAGAGTAGCAAACAGCAGGCTGGAAGGTCCATTTTTATAAGTGCCGATCTTGTGCTGTGCCCTGTTCTGTATCACAGGGGGTTTGACCCTATGCTTTAACTCACATAATATGTATGTAAAGAACATAACATAAGACATAATAACTGACATTTATTTGCTAAGAGTTTATAAGCATCAAGTTCCCGCAAACCATATTAGGTAAATATCCTCATTTCACAGATACGGAACCTGAGGCTCCAAGAAGGTAACTTGCTATAAAGTGGTGGAGCTGGGATTTGAACCTGAGCAGCTGGGTTCCATAGCCCACCCACCAAGGCCTCCTTCAGTGTTCCTCCATGCCTCCTAAGCCCCAGCCATGCTTACCATCTCGAAGCGCTCCAAAGTGGTCCAGCCCATTTGCGCCTGCATACTTTGCACATTCTGTTCCCTCCACTGGGAATTCCCGTCCCTATCTTCTCCTCCAGGGAGACACTTAACCTTCCAGACTCAGTTCTGCCATCTTTCCACCGAAGTCACCCCTGACTCGAAGGCACCTGACTGCACTCACCACCCATCTCTCCAGGAGCACTTTCTTCATCACTTTAGTGACTTCTTTTCACATCTGTCTTCCTTGCTGATTCATGGGTTCTTTGAAGCCAGGTGTGATGTGTTCCATTGCCACTAAACTACAAATTTACAATCTTACCTCATTTTTCAAGAATCTCAGAGACTTGAAGTTACAATGACGGTTGGTTCTTTATGCTTTAGAGTCACTGAGTTTTGTTAAGAGTGGGGCAGGGGTCCTCAATCTTAGTTTCCAAAGAAGTCTTGAATCCTTGCATCAACTCATCCAGCAGATTTATTGAGCACCTACTACATCCTTGGTGGTGCTGAAGAATATAGTGAGGTAGTCAGGGTCTGACCAGGAAAACAGGAAGCACTACAAACATTTAACACAGAGAGAATTTCATACATACGCAAGTGATGGACTCTGAGAACTTAAAGAAGCAGTAGTGTATCTAGAGATTCACACTAGCAGGAAGCCAACTCCACCCCTAGCAGGAGCCACAGAAGGCAGGCAGCCCCTGCCAGCACCTCCCCAGGCAGAGAGGGAAAGAAATACCCTGGCTTCTCTCTCCCTCCCATCCTTCCCATCAGTGCCTCCCATTACATGGAGGGCAGCTGACATGGAAGCCTGGGAAAGGCGATCTTCGGGGGTCAAATCCCCTGTGATACAGAGCACAGCACGTGACTGGCATTTATAAAGATGGATAAAATAAGTTCTCGAAAATAACCAACCTATAGAGGAAAATGAAATACATGTAATAAACAGTAAATTTAAAAGTGATTCCAAATGAAGATTTCCCTTTGGCCAGTTCACAGGAAGGACGGCTCAGCCTGCCTCATGGTGCTTGTAATCTATCCCTTGGTTTAATAGGCATTAGAAAGGATTCCAGGCAAATTCAGGGGTTTTCCAACAGCCCCTGACCCAGATCCTGTTCCTTTCTGCCTAAACTTACCTCCTTCCTCCCTTCTCAAGTCCTGACATCCCTCTTTTTCTCTCTTATACTAACGTTTCCCAAATGTTATACCAGCATTTCCTCTCTTATACAGGTAGTTTTCCACTTTGGTATAAAATACTTTCCCAAAAACATGTAGAAAAGTTGAATTTGCACAACGCATTCATCTGTTATAAGTTCAGTTCCCATAAAGCCAGACAATATTATAAAATCTCTAATTACATCTTGTCTTTGAGACACAATCCAATTTTCTAATTCTGGCATTTTTTCATGCTTTGTAATTTTGTTCTTTTCCTTCATAATTAAGCACGCTATCAACTTATGTTCATGGAGCAACTGATTAAAGTTTAAGGTTTTCATACTTTCAGCTTACCTAATAATTTCCATCTTTGCTTCAAGTGACAGTTGAATTGAATTAAGTTCATTTGATCTCTGCTTACTACTTGCAGTAGCACCTTGGGCCTTTCTATCTCCCAGTTATTTTGACCAGATATGGGGAAAATGCAGTAAAATATTGAAATAGTTTCCTGAGCAGGTGCCGCCGAACAAAGATGGCACTAGTGCTAAAATGGCTGGGCAGCCACTCCCCCAGATGACCGCTCACCATGCATGTTCAGCAGTTGATGTAGGACACCCCAAATTGTGCGTGAGAGGGGCACTTGGGGATGCCAGTGCCTCGCTGGGTAGGACCAATGGTAAAGACCCGTTGGACTGGAGAGCACTTTGTCCCCAGAAATCTACCACTCTGATATTAGACAGAACACACTGTCTTGGAACATCGGCACTGAACAGAGCCTGGTGATGGTGTGAGATAAGATGTCAAATAGAAAAAAGGCGTCGTGTGGGTCCGTGTTGGTCTCTCTCTTTGGGGGAGACCAGCCCATCAGAAATAGAAAACTAAACCAACCAGCCTGCCCTGGGGAGCATGGAAACTTTGTGCTACAGGTGGGCAAGAATTGGGTAGAGGGTGCTCATGGAAGGTTTCCTGGAAGACCTAGTCCTGGATCAGGATCTTGAAGGCTTGGGAAGCCTAGGGAATGGGGGCAGCAGATGTTCTAAAGGAAGAAACCTGTGCAATGTTATGTGCATCGATTGAGGGCATTAGAGTCAGTCGGCCCTAAGCTAGTCCCCACTCCACCACTTCCCACGTGGGCGACCTCGCCCAAGTCCCATAAACTCTCTGAGCCAGGGTCCTCAGCTGGGAAATAGAAGTCGTCACACTGACTTTAAGGTTGAGGGGCTTTAGAGGAGATAAAAATGGATCTGAAGTTCTTACACAAGTGCTTGGGTAACTCAATGCTCCGTGGTGGGAGCTGTTATCATTTTTATGAATTATAATTATGGGTGTCTCAAGAGGTCAGTGCTTACTTAGTGCGTGCATGTCAGATCATCTTTCGGAGGGCAAGTAAGGCTTGACTCACCCGCCCTGTTTCCTTTCCACTGCCTCTAATAATATCTGTCTTCATCCATTTAGGCTGCTATAACAAAAATATCACAGACTGGGCGGCTGATAAACAATAGAAATCCATTTCTCACCGTTCTAGAGGCTGGAGTCCAAGGTCAGGGCTCCGTCACGGTCAGGTTCTGGTGAGGGCTCACTCCCTGGCTTACAGATGGTCATCTTCGTGCTGTGTCCTCACATGGCAGAAGGGGCAAGGGATCTCTCTGGGGCCTCTTTTATAAGGGCATTAGTCCCATTCACAGGGCTCCAATTTCATGAACTAATCACCCCCAAGGGCCCCACCTCCTAACACCATCACATTAGTGGTTAGGATTTCAACATATGAATTGTGGGGCAGGGGACTAACATTCAGTTCGTAACAATATTTGTTTAGCAATGCCCAGCATGTGACTGCCTAGAGCACTGCGTTGAGAACGATTCTGAGAGCCAGAATTCTGAGTGCTTCTGGGATGGATTAAGAATGTCTTCCACAAATGCAAAATTAAGGAGAGTAGCTATGTGTGCTTTGACTTGCCACCAGCGCCTCAAGCAAAAGGAAATCTATTGGTGGGTGTTCTAGACAAGGTGGCAGCCTGTAGAGAGCGGTCATTTAGAACAGCAGTCTCCAACCTTTTTGGCACCAGGGACCAGTTTCATGGAAGACGATTTTTCCACGGACCAGGGCGGGGGTTGCGGGGGTGATGGTTCGGGCGGTAATGAGGGAGATGGGAAGCGGCAGATGAAGCTTTGCTCGCTGGCCCGCCGCTCACCTCCTGCTGTGCGGCCCGGTTCCTAACAGGCAGCGGACTGCTACTGGTCCATGGCCCAGGGGTTGGAGACCCCAGATTTCGAAGACGCCAATGGGAGCAGATATACACCGTTGTAACGGAAAGGGTACCTCAACATAGTCCTGTTTTTTTGTCTTGTTTTGTTTTGTTTGCGGTACGCGGGCCTCTCACTGCTGTGGCCTCTCCCGCTGCGGAGCACAGGCTCCGGACGCGCAGGCCCAGCGGCCATGGCTCACGGGCCCAGCCGCTCCGCGGCATGTGGGATCCTCCCGGACCGGGGCACGAACCCGCGTCCCCCGCATCGGCAGGCGGACTCTCAACCACTGCGCCACCAGGGAAGCCCCCTAGTCCTGTTTTGAAGTGAGCTATTGGTTAGGTGTTTGTTAGGTCTGGGGCTGATTATTATTACTATGTAATGACTTCTTCAAGACACCAATGTTCACCTTATAGTGTCACGTGGAAGCCAAAAATGTGGAATCCCTTGTCCAGTGGGATCTGTCCCTCTGGGTCTGTGAACTGCTTGAGTGAACTGTGCCTGTTATTCGTTCGTCTTCTGTCACATCCCTTGCCCACCCTTCTCATCTCTGCAAGTGACATTCCCCAGGTTCATGGATATTGGGGCACTAGGTGAGTGGTTACCTTGGCCCCCCCTCCAGGGCCTCCAATGCAGCAGCTCCAAGTATCATGTCCACACACAGCTACAAGCCCAGGAAGGAAGGCAGTGGTGGAAACTGGGGCCTTTTCCACACACCACTCTCCATTTATAGGGGAGCAGAATGTTTCCAAGACACCCTCTACCAATGCCCCCATACATCTAATTGGCTGAACTTGGTCAGATGGCCAATGTTAGCTGCAAAGGAGGCTGAGAAAGTGAAATCTGGCCTTCGTAAATTTGGTTGTAGGCAACGGGCAAAAGGATTAGGAATCACCGTGAGGCAGGTAACCTGTAGCATCTGCCGCTGTGCCTGTTTGATGTGAGGATGAAATGAGTTCATGTATATAAAACATTTGGCATAGTACCTGGCATGAAATCAGTGCTCAAGAAACATTTTAATGACCTGAAGAAAAAAATCTCTGTGTTCCTATCTATCTATCTGTCTATCTATCCATTCATCCATCGCTATTTCTCTGTTGTTTTTGGCAGCAGACTGCCTCCAGGGTACTCCGTCAATTTCTTTTGTTGGGTGAATTACTTTATAAGCTCTTTGAAATAGGAGGTGAGAATCCCCCAAGAAGACACCAATGCCTTCTGCTATGGTTTGAATGTTTGTGTGCCCCCCAAGATTCACATGTTGAAATCCTAATGCCCAATGTGATGGTATTAGGAGATGGGGCCTTGGGGAAATGCTTAAGTTCTGAGGGTGAAGCCCTGATGAGTAAGATTAGTGCCCTTATAAAAGAGGCCCCACAGAGCTCCCCTGCCCCCTCTGCCATATGGGGGCACAGCAAGAAGTCTGCACCCAGAAGGGGCCCTCACCTGACCATGCTGGCACCCTGATTTTTCATTTCCCAGCCTCCAGAACTGTGAGAAATAAATTCCTGTAGTTCATAAGCTACCCAGTATGTGGTATTTTATCGTAGCAGCCTGAATGGCCTAAGATACCTGCTGAAGAGGGTGGACTGATAATTGCAGGATTTGGTTTTGCTGAGTCGTCTATGCAGGTTCAGGCCACGGGTGGAATTTTCCAGCAAAACAAAAGATCTTGAAGATGTTCTGTGAGAAAGGATTAGGAGAGAGGAGGCTGTCTAAGGACTGGTGCCGTAAGGAGGGCTTTTGAGAAAGACCAAAAACATCCAGTGGAGATTTTCGTTATTTGATGTGTACAATGCAAAGTCAGCTCCTTTCTTTGTGTCTTCAATATAATCCACCTTGTTTGCTAGTGTTTTTACATTTCTAGGATGAGCAACAGTGTGTGCTGAGTCCTGCTTTGGACCAAATCCAGAGATGCCCCTGAGAGGACAGCCCATATGGGTGCCTTAGTTTAAAAAGGAAAAAGAGAAAGCAGGACCGCATCACATCCTCTATTTACTTTGGTCTGGGAGGGCTAACAAAGACTTCTGTCCATTTTCAGCTCAATCCTATGGCAAGAGGCAATGAGTAACAGGCTACCGGGTTTCTTACCTTCGCAGCTGGGAGGAGAATGTCTTTGTGTATGACCTCGTGAACAGCTGTGTTCCTGGGATCCCAGCTGACATCTGGACAGGGCTTCACGATCACAGGCAGGTGAGGAAGTGCTGACCATCAAGCCCTTTTGGAAGTTCCAGCCAAGATGCCATTTTGATTTAACCAGCCTTTCACATGGAACCTGTGTGCCAGGTCACTGCTATGTGTCCAGCACACAGAGATCAGACACGAGGATGCCCCAGTTAGTATATGATAATCGTTGTGAAAGAGGGTATTATGGGAACATATTGGATGGCAAGGGATGGCCTCTGTTTAGGTTTGGGTTCTCCAAAAAGCAGACACAAAAACGTGATTGGATGTGTAAGAGCCTTTTGAGGGAAAACATTGGCGAAGGAAAAAAGACGGGAGGGTTGAAGAGGCAGAGAAGACCTTCAGGCCATGATGTGGGTCTGAGCCCTGTGAAAGAAGAGGGGGAGGGAACGGCTGAGTGGGGAGAGCCTTAGATCACAGCTCACCCTGGAAAGTCTTAGCTAAGCCAGTGGGGTGTCCCCAGGCAAAGGATGCCCATTCCAGGAGTCCCACCTTGGGCAGGAGGAAGCCAGCACGAATACCCCTGACATGCTAAGTCACTAACTGGGAACAGCATGGAGGAAGCACAGTCTCACTGTGAATACAGTGCTGGGTCCAAGGGGCTTTCAGTCAGCCATGCTCCCTCAGCTGGTCCTCCTGAAGGAGCTCTGAGCAGTGCACGTCTACAGCTGCCACAGCCTCCCAGGGTAAGAGATATTTAAGCTAACGTCTAGTGGATAAATAGGAATCAGCCAGAGGAAGAGCATTCCAGGTAGAGGGCACAGCATGGGCAAAGGTCCTGAGGTGGGAGAGATCACGGCACACTCAAGGACATTAAAGACTAGTGTGCCTGGGCTGCAGAGTGGCGCAGGGGTGAGTGGAATAACGGTGGAGAATAAGGCCAAAGAGGCTGGCTTGGGCCAGGTCTCATACCTGGCAATATCACGGCACACTCCACCTGGAGATTTGGTCTCCACACTTTCCATGGACAAGTTGTATCCTGAGCATCTCTCCTGCATGTATTGCCTCCAGCCCTGCCTCAGATAGGGTTCCAGTTCCAGCTCCCGTTCTGCCACTTACGGGATGGTAGGTGACTGGGACTTTTTTTTTTTTTTTTTTGCATCTCTGAGCTTCAGTTTCCTCAGCTGTAAAATGGGATGACAATAATAGTGCCTGGTTGTAAAAAGTAAATGGGCCAAGGTATGTAAAGGACTTAGCCTGTGCTCAGCACACTGTGAGAGCTCATTAAGGGTGATTGAAGTTGCTGTCAAAGTAGCAGAAGTGGGACTTCCCTGGTGGTCCAGTGGCTAAGACTCCGCGCTCCCAATGCAGGGGGCCTGGGTTTCCATCCCTGGTCAGGGAACTAGATCCCGCATGTATGCTGCAACTAAAAGCCTGCATGCCGCAGCTAAAAGATTCTGCATGTCACAACTAAAGATCCTGCATGCCGCAACGAGGATCCCGCGTGCCATAACTAAGACCTGGTGCAGCCAAATAAACAAATATTTTAAAAGTAGCAGAAATATCAATAGTAGCCAAACTCAGTATATTTTTAAAAATCAATAGAATTCATCTGGCAAAAACTTGTATAGAAGTTGTAACATAAAGAAACAAAATGTCCCATTATAATAGTAACTTTAAAATTGGCTTATGAATATACTTAGAGTTAAGGAACTTGTATAACAAGACCTAAGAATAATAATAACAAATGATACAGTAAAAGGACTTGTTTTTATAGTTTTCTTTTCAAGCCTAGGCACCACATGCCAGGCACTAGCTAAGTCTCTTAATGCTTTTAATTCGTTCAATTCTCTCAATAATCCTCTGAGGGAAATATTAGCTCTATTTTATAGTTGTGGAAACTGAGGCTCAGAGAAGTTAAGTAACTTGTCCAGATTGCAGAGCTAGGAAGTGGATGGAGCTGGAATCCCAGGCTCTAGTGTCTCCCAGAAGGAGCATGCAGTTTCTGTTATATGACATGGCCTCCAAAATCATCAGTGCTTTGGGAGACACTTCTCTAAAAACTTGAATAAATGGAGAAAGGACTTTTGTTCCAGGACATTGCAAAGAATGTTTTCCATAGTTAATTTGCACATTTATTACAACATCAGTCAAATTCCCAGCAGGACTTTTCTTGTAATTGGACAGACTAGTTCCACAGCAGGCAAGAAAAATACACACTATTTGGACAGAAAGAAAAGAGATGAAGGGTGACTCGCACCCACTGGTAAAAAACATTTTCTTTTTAATATGGTAGTTAGGGTCTTGAGTACTGGAGTCAGATAGACCCGGGTTTGAATCCTAGCACTAATGCTTTATTAACTGTGTGAATTTGGGTAGACTAATCTGAGTCTCAGTTTTCTCAGCTGTTAAATGGAGATGACAACGCCTGCTTTGCGGGATGGTGAGGATAAAATGAGTAAAGCACACCTGGCATGGTACATAATAAGCCCTCAACAAACGGCAGCTAGTAATGTTACCAGCCAGAGCCAGAACCAAACTCAAGTTTGGCTGCTCATTGCTCAAAAGACGATGTTCGAGAGACAGGGTTGGTAGAACAAGAAAGATGCTTTATTCCAGAAGCCGGCAACCTGGGGAGATGACGGACTCGCATCCCCAAAACCATCTCCCAGTTGCTGGTTAGGAGACAAAGGTTTTAAAGGGGAGTTTCAGGGGTGCACAGGCAGGGGGGCTACCAGCAGAACAGCACAGCCAGCTCCGACAATCATCTTGAAACTGGTCATGCGGTGGTTGGATCAGCATCATCTTGATTGTTTTAAGCATAATCTTCAACTCCAGGGTCAGTTTGTCCTCACTTCCTTGAGGCCAGTTCTTGGCACTGAGCTAGCCATAGATTCAGTACCGCTCAAGATGGAGCAGCTTATGTCATGGCTGCAGTCTGGTCGTCATGCAGCTAGCTTTTTCCCTCGGGTGGCAGTCATAATATCTGCAGAACAACGCAGGAATGTGCATAGGACACTGTGATCTATATCTTTCAGGAAGGAACAAAAGATTCTGTGACTCTGTTGTCCTAATCATTAACTGTTTGAGCCTGCTTTTTTGTGACTCAGGGAAGGTCTGGGAGACTATAGCTTTTCTGCAAACAAGAGGCAGGGGACATGGAGGGGCTTTTGTACCTGGGAGGGCCCTGTAGGGTCCTGCTCAGTTTCAGTAATGGTGGTTAATAATAGTATATCAGATAAAAGTGAGGGCTTCTGCACTGTTAGATATGGAGGTATTAGAATGTTACCCCAAGCTGGAGCTGGCTCAAATGCCTGACCTTTCTCTCTTTGGCTGGCTTCCTTTCCTCTGGGTGCAACCCCCCAGGAAGGGCAGTTTGAATGGACAGACGGCTCATCCTATGACTATAGCTACTGGGATGGGAGCCAGCCGGATGATGGCATCCACGCGGACCCAGAAGAGGAGGATTGCGTGCAAATATGGTACCGACCCACCAGCGGTGGGTGCCCTCGAGACCAGGGCTCTTGCAGGGGTGCTGGGGAGGTGCCAGGGATAGCCAGGAAACTGAATTATTCAACACCTTGGAGAGTGACCAGAGGTCACTGGGGGGTGGGGGTGGGGTGTTAGGGGCGTGGCAGTTCCCTATGGTGGATGCATTTTAAACAATGTTTAATGGTGCGTTGTTGACATGCAAACTGTGATTTGGATGAAAAGACATTAGAGATAGAAGAATGAAAAAAAGAAAGAAACTTGTATAGAGACCAAAGGATGGTGCTTTTATGTCATCTCACCAATGCACCAGAGGTGGCTCGTGCTCCTGGACATTAGAACGAAGGGATGCCTGGAGGAGCGCCCAGGTGTAGTAGTGAAAAGAGTACGCAGATGGGTACAAGTACTGGCCCTGTTGCCTTCTAGTTCTGTGTCCTTGCAGGCAATTACTTATTGTCTCTGAGATTCCCTTTTCTCTTCTGTAAAATGGATTTAATCATCGTTGCTACCCACAGGGCTGTTCTGAGCATTGAAGGAGATATAGCTGATACAGCACAGTGGTAAGAGCATGGTCCCTGGAGTTGAATGTCCTTGTCTGAACCCCAGCTCAACCACTTATGAACTGTGTAGCCCAAAGGAAGTGCCTTAACCTCTTGGTGCCTCAGATTCTTCATCTGCAAAATGGGGCTAATGACACAACTCACAGGGTTGATGTGAAGGAAAAAGAAGATAAGAGACAGAAAGTGACTGCAGTGGTTTGCATGTGGTATCAGCAATCACCACCATCATCGTGAACAACAACGTCACTGCTCACACCAATCTTAAGAAGTAAAAACTATTAATATTTCCATTTTGCAGATGAAGAAATCAGGACTCAGAGAAGTTAAGTGATTTATTCAAGTTTGTCCAGCAAGCAGATATGGAGCTGGGTTTCAAACCTGTATCTACTCCAGATGCAAGTGCTGAACTGCTGCCATTCCTACTTTGCTCCTTTTTCTTTTTCTGATTACGAGAGGGAGGCATGGAACAGCGACTTTGCTATCCTGGGAGCCAGAGCTGGGCCAAGCCTCTGGGTGAGGCTTGTCCTGTTCCTCCACAGTGGCAAGTCAACACTAGCCTTATGAGAGAGTAAGGCTGGACAGCAGCCTCATTAAGCATCTGCAAGAAAGGAATGCCAGTGTAGACACCAAGCCTACGGGAGAGGACTTTTACTCTGGTGGGATGGCGGGGTTACTTTTACTGTGATGGATGGACCTTCACGCAGAGTCTCTGCTTTTTCCCATCACAGCTCTGAGGTCATGGAATGATAACACCTGCAGCCGAAAGTTCCCCTTTGTCTGCAAGATCGCAGCTCTGAACGTTCACTGATCCGGTCCCGCCCTCTCACAGCAAGCCCAACTCCAGCATCGACTTGTAGATGTACCTAATGTAAAGTCGACACTCAATAAATGTAAAACACACAGAGGAGACAAATCTCCCAGACAGAGATTTTATACAAGCAAATCTTAAGATACAGAGTGATCACTTGGTGACGAGTGACAGGAAAACCAACTCAGCTGGCTTGATAAATAAAGGATGGTGGATTTATTGGTCCAAGTAATAAAAGTCCAGGGGTTGTTCTAGATTGGGTTGAATCTCACTGGCCTGGCTTAGGGCACATGCCCATTCTTGAAGCAATCTCTTTGGCATACGCTGGTCGGCTAGACCCTGCTTAGATGCACATGGCTGGGCAGGAGGGGTGGGGTCAACGTCACCTGAACCACATGGGCCCAAGGAGGAAGGTGGTTCCCCAAGGAAAAGGAAAATACCACCAAACTCATACATTGCTGGTGGGAATGTAAAATGGTAAAGCCATTCTGGAAAACAGTTTGGCACTTGCTCAAAAAGTTAAACACAGAAATACCATATGGTCCCAGCAATTCCAATTCTGGGTATACACCCAAGAGAACTGAAAACAGGTATTCAAATATGAATGGTCATAGTAGCATTACTCATAATGGCCCCCAAAGTGGAAACATCTTTGGGGGCACCACCCAGATGACCCCATCCCATTGTCAGGATCCCAACCAGGGCCTTGATGGTAACATAACATGCTGCCTTGGTTGAGAGCTCAACTCCCTTTGAAGTTCGGACACTCTGAGTCCCAGGCTTGATCTGCCTCCTGCCACAAGAGATGAGAACTTCTTTGTCTGCAACCGAAGAGACTCTTTGGCTTTCACTCTTGGAGCAAGAACCTGTTACTTGTCCTCGGCTGTTTATTTTATTATTATTATAATATATATATATATTTTTTGGGGGGGCTGCGTTGGGTCTTTGTTGCTGCCCACTGGCTTTCTCTAGCTGTGGTGAGCGGGGGCTACCCTTCGTTGCGGTGTGCGGGCTTCTCAATGTAGTGGCTTCTCTTGTTGCGGAGCACGGGCTCTAGGCGTACAGGCTTCAGTAGTTGCGGCACTCGGGACCTAGAGTGCGTGGGCTTCAGTAGTTGCGGCTCATGGGCTCAGTAGTTGAGCTGGCTTCAGTAGTTGCAGCATGCAGGCTCAGTAGTTGTGGCTCGCGGGCTCTAGAGCGCAGGCTCAGTAGTTGTGGCTAGCGGGCTCTAGAGCACAGGCTCAGTAGTTGTGGCTCGCGGGCTTAGTTGCTTTGCAGCATGTGGGAATCTTCCCAGACCGGCGCTCGAACCCGTGTCCCCTGCACTGGCAGGCAGATTCTTAACCACTGCACTGCCAGGAAAGTCCCAAGGAGTTGACTTTGATTAAGGCAGCTCTCTGCAGCTGAGACTGACCCTGTAGGAGCTAACAGCTGGAAGCCACTCTGCCCCCTTCCTTGAAGGTGGGGATCTGGGTGGTACATCTCAGTGTTACCACATCTGGAATCAGAAAGACATGGGGTTCAGACTTCCCTGGTGGCTTAGTTGCCACAACTACAGAGCCCACACGCTCTAGAGCCTGTGCACCACAACTAGAGAAGAGAAAAACCCGCAGGCCACAACTAGAGAGCAGCCCACGCGCCACAACGAAAGATCCCACATGCCTCAATGAAGATCCTTAGTGCACAACTAAGACCCGACACAGCCAAAAATAAATTAAATAGATAATAAATAAATCTTAAAAAAAAAAAAGACATTGGTTCAAATCTCACCATTGCCACTTACCATGTGATCTCACGGAAGTGGTTTAACCTCTCTTGACTTTCAGTTTTCTCCTTTGTAAAATGGAAACACAGTCCCTTCCAGCTCTAACTGATTTATCAGGCAGCTTTGGGAAATGAAGAGCTCTGCATAGGTGACGTTTCCAGAAAACTAAAATTCATTCCTCAAGCATCACAACTATCTCTACTTTTTCCACTTTGGATAGAAATCTTTCTAAACCATGTTATACATTTTCCTGCTTCCTTAAACAGAAGATACTCAAGGGGATTAGTCTTTTCTTGATGACTCAGGGTCATGTGGGCTGCATCAACTTCAGGTATTTTTGTCTCCTCTTATCATATCTGGGTGTAACTGTGCCAGTCTCTAACAGCCCACAGAATCCCCCATCTTTTCTAGGTTGTTGCTGCTGAGATGCTGTGGGCTGGGAAGCCAGGCAACCAAGCCTGAGAATAATTTGAGGGAGAAGAGAGAGAGAGAGAGGAGAGAGAACTCGCCTTAGACTGCAGGACAGTCTAGGACGCCTCCACGTTCTCTCCTTCACTGGGAGTCAGACAAGTCTGATGACTTTACCAGCCTTCCCTGGCTCCCTTCCTGTTTTCTTTCACACAGGCATTTCCTCTAATAAAATCTTTGCATATACTTAATTTATCTTGGCACCTGCTTCTCTAAGGACCCAGATTAATACATACAGTATATTCAGACGGCCCTCCCAAAAGTCTGCCCTAATTTACACTCCACCTGCAGTGTAGGAGAGCCCCTCTTCACCTGCACTTTTGCCAACACATTGTCCCACATTCAAATTGAACCTCCAAGGAGCAGGTGGACACTCCTTCCACTCCCTTGGCAACCCTCAGGGGCATTCTGTCGGCAAATGCATCATTGAGACTGATTTAATTGCTGGTGACAGAAAACCCAACCCAAACTGCCTTAAACACAAAAGGGCTTTTATTTACTCATAGACTTGAAAAGTCCAGAGGTATCTACCTTCAGGCTCAGCCTGATCCAGGAATTTAAGTGATATCGCCAAAGGCATTTGTGTCCATGCTCTGCCTCCATGCTGTTGGCTTGATCCTGAAGCTCCAGTCTCTCCCCTTAGGGAAGCAAAAATGGTCAGAGTAACTCTAAATCTTACACCCTTCAAGAGAATGAGGGGCCTTTCTTTCCCAGAAGCCCTTGCAGTCACCTCCTCTTGCCTCACTGGCTGTACCAGGTTACTTGGCCAACTTTTAACCAATCACTCTGGCCAGAAGACGAGCCTGATTGCTTTAGCCAATCAGGCTCTGTGCAATCAAGGCTGAGAGCTGGGGAGATATGGCTTCCCAAAAGGAATTGGAGGTGCTATTTTATCAAAAGAGAGCTAATGTTGAAAGTCATGTTGAAAACAAAACAAAATATCTGTTACAAGAAGGCAAGGAGGAGCCAACTTTAAATTTCAAACTCGCGGGGAGGGTTGAAAACATGGAAGAATAACTGCAGCCTCAGGAGAGTCTTCTTAGAGAAGGGCAGGACCGCATCTTGTCCCATCAAGAGTCCTGGCGGGCTTCCCTGGTGGCGCAGTGGTTGAGAGTCCGCCTGCCGATGCAGGCAACACGGGTTCGTGCCCCGGTCCAGGAAAACCCCACATGCTGTGGAGCGGCTGGGCCCGTTGAGCCATGGCCGCTGAGCCTGAGCGTCCGGAGCCTGTGCTCCGCAGCGGGAGAGGCCGCAACAGTGGGAGGCCCGCGTACCGCAAAAAAAAAAAGAAAAAGAAAAAATTAATTTACTTTTTGGCTGCGTTGGGTCTTCGTTGCTGCGTGCGGGCTTTCTCTAGTCGCGGCGAGCGGGGGCTACTCTTCGTTGTGATGCACGGGCTTCTCATTGCGGTGGCTTCTCTTGTTGCGGAGCACAGGCTCTAGGCGTGTGGTCTTCAGCAGTTGTGGCACTTGGGTTCAGTAGTTGTGGCTTGCGGGCTCTAGAGCGCAGGCTCAGTAGTGGTGGCGCACAGGCTTAGTTGCTCCGCGGCATGTGAGATCTTCCCGGACTAGGGCTTGAACCCGTGTCCCCTGCATTGGCAGGCGGATTCTTAACCACAGCACCACCAGGGAAGTCCTGAAAAGGTTTTAAAATATCACTAACTCCGTCCCCTGTCTCATAATTACCATCCAGTGCAGGGAGCAAACTATGAGCCATAGGCCAAATCTGGCCTAGCACCTGTTTTTGTAAATAAAGTTGTATTGGCACATGGCCATGCCCATTTGTTTACATGTTGTGTTCCCACTACTCAACTATATGAGAGTTGAGTAATTGTGGCAGAGACCACCCGCCCCACAAAGCCTAAAATAGCATCTTATCTGGATTTTGACAGAGAAAGTTGGCTGACTCCTGCTCTAGTGTAACCCCCCCCCAAAAGTTATCGCTCCCTCTAAATCTCAAGAGAAGCCTGCTTAGACTTCAGTGCCAACCGTGTGGTGGAACTCACACAGGCAGCTCGTTTAATGCTTTGTGCCTCAGGATCCCCATCTGAAAAATGGGTGTAAGCGTCTTTCTATAAAAGCCTGCCCTGGAGCTTCAAGATTACACTCTTGCACGTAAAGCACCTAAGGAAGGAGCTGGCACTCAGCAGAGACCTGCTGGTTGGGGAAGCAGAGCCTGAGGCTGTGCCGATTTGAACGGGATTCAGTCCCAGTTTGTTTCACTGGATTCTCACGGCCTCTCAGTTTGTGTAGAAGCCACCCTGGGGTCTGACCTTGGGGAAGTAAATTCCTGTTTCTTTTTTTTTTTTTTTTTTTGTGGTACGCGGGCCTCTCACTGTTGTGGCCTCTCCCGCTGCGGAGCACAGGCTCCGGACATGCAGGCTCAGCGGCCATGGCTCACGGGCCCAGCCACTCCGCGGCATGTGGGATCTTCCCGGACCGGGGCACGAACCCGTGTCCCCCGCATCGGCAGGCGGACTCTCAACCACTGCGCCACCAGGGAAGCCCAAATTCCTGTTTCTTAAACAAGCCATTCCCAAATTGCCGTGGATTGGGTCTGAGGGACTCACACACCATGTCTAGTCTCCTAGATGGGTGGCCAGATGCTGCCTCCGCTGCTGCACCCCTCCCAAGGACCTCCTCCCTCTGAGTGAGACAGCCCTCAGCCCATCCACATGCAGACTTCCCTCAGTGACCCTCTCAGCCACCACATCTAAGGCCAGCTGAACCAACCTAGAAGGTTCTGAGGTCATAAGACTCCAGGCCTC